CCTTGTGTCCTCATAGACTCTGGAGTGGGGATATTCCTCATTTTTTTTCAAAACTCTGGATTGTGGGATCACCCTTGTCTCCATACAGACTCTGAACTTGGGGGAATCCTCATTTACTCACATACTCTTTGGAGTCTGAAATAATGCCTTCTCCTCACAGACTCTGTGGGATGTGTGGATGTCTGCATTTCCTTACACACTCTGAATTGTGGGAAAAACCCTTGTCTTCTCAAAGACTCGGACTGGGTGGTCATCCCCATTTCTTCACAGACTCTGTGGACTTTGGGGGCACCCAGGTCTCCTCACAGACTCTCTGTACTGGGGGAACACCCCTTTCCCCTTCACAGACTCTGTACTGTGAGGAACTCCAGTCTCCCATGGACCCTTTCTCTCTTCACGAACTCCTTGGACACTTCCCTCACAACCCTATGAGTTGACATCCTCATCTCTTCACACTCTGTGATAAAGCAGGACTGGAGTGGTGGAGTGCCAGTTTAATTCAGTCATCACTTTAAATCTCTCCCCTGGAACAGACGGTAGTCAATAGAAAAGAATATGGAATGACTGAGCGATGGGGTGTGGCAGCAGATAAAGGAAGCCCCAGCCCTATTTCTATCTTGGCTCTCTCTCTGGCAACACTCTCTCTCTCTCTCTCTCTCTCTCTCTCTCTCTCTCTCTCTCTCTCTCTTTCCTCTTTCCAGACCAGCATCTCCTCTCTTCACAGATTGCATTCTTCACACCCCTTCTCACAACTCTGCATTGTGTGAATTTCCATCTCCTCTTAGATTCTGTGGAATAGGTAGACACCCCTATCTCCTCACAGACCCTGCACTGTGGGGAACTCCCATCTCACAGACTCTGTGGACTGGGTAGGGTAGACACTCCATCTCTTCATGGCCTCTGTGGGGGCTGGTGCTGCCAACAGTGCTACCTCTAGACTTGGCAAAAGTGGGTGTGTGCACCCAACCTGTGCCCTCTGCCCATCCAAGGCTGCCCACTGCCACCTCTGGAATTGGGCCCTGGTGCAGTGGGTGCTAGGGCAGCAGCAGCAGCAAACCCCCAAGAGTGGCCCTGTTACCACCCCCACCCCCGACTGCCTCTCCCCCTTGCTGGCAGCGGCTCCTCTGCATGTTTCTCGAGCCCCCACAGCAGGCCCCATTAAGCAAGGCCCATCTTTTTCCAAAGACACCAAACCTGTCGACATGCTCACATGTAGCTCCTTAGAGACTGTTCAGGCTACCCAGAGTCTTAGGCACGTGACACCCGTGATCACCTTCAATCTCAGGCAGTGATGCCCACAGCCACCCAGTGTTCTGGGCAAGTGGCCACCTGTAGCCTCCCAGAATCTGGAACCTGGTATTGGCACCTGGGCCCACAGTAACGTAAGAGGGGATGGCTGAGGGACCCCCTACTTTGTGGTGTCCAGGAGCCACTCACGTGGGCAGGTTCTGGGGGTGGGTAGAGCCCAGAGTGCCCCATAGCATGCTTATACCAACCCCAGTCTTGGCTACAAGCCTCTGCAGATCATGCGGGGGCCCCAGCTCCCTGCACCCCCAACTGCTGCTCCCTCACACTCTTGTCTCGGCTCTTTGAAGAGCGACCCAGCCCTAGAGCCCCGTCAGACTGGCCCACCTCACAGGCCCTGCCCTCAACAGGGATCTGCAGAGAGCACAGTGCAGCAGCCTGTAGGGACGGTGACGGGCGCCCACTGCCGAGCTAGAGGTGCCTGGAGTCGCCGACAGGGAGGGCATGAGGCCAGTGCCCACCCACACAGGACACAACGTGCTTCCAGGTCCCCCCAGTAGTGCTTGAGGCCCATGCAGTGCCCTGGAGTGGACTCGGTCCTGGTGCTTGCACATGCCCTGACTAGCTGCCCACCCCGTCCCCGCTTCCTGTTCATGGGTGTCTGGTGGGTAAGACACATCACAGGGCCAGGGGAAGGTGGGACCCAGGGGGCCCAGCTTGCTCTCGAATGCTCAGTCCCCCCAGCCTGGATGGACAGACACTCCCTCAGCCCCTCTCAACCCTGAGCGCGCCCCTCCCGAGGCTCTGTGCGTGTGTGGCCCTGTGGCCCTCACCTCCGCAGCTACTCCGCCTGCACGTCTGGCCGCTGAGTTTCCTCCACTGCCTGGACGTGTGCGCTGAGCACTGACACCCCAGAAGCACCTTTACAGACGACCTCACGTTTTCCAGACCTGCTGGACGCGTGACAGCCCTGAGGAGCGCGTTTCCCTGGTGTCAGCCTGTGGTGAGTCAGCCGTATTTTTAGCTGTTCCGGGGCTGTGAGGCGCGTGGCTGTGGTGGTGACGAGGCCGGTGTCCCCCGAGCTGCCGTGTGAAGGGAGCTCTCTCTTTTCTGCACAGGCCTGTCAGTTTGGGCAGCGGCGGTGACCCTGCAGGAGGCAACAGGAGAGATTGGACAGCGGGGGCCACACTGCGTGGGTCAGCTCCAGTGGATGACCTGGACGTGACCTCTCACCCGCATGGCCAGGCCCGCGCAGCGGCTGGGGAGCCGGTCGCAGCTCAGAGCCTCCTGGCTGGGGACTTCAGGGGGTATCTGAGTTGGTGCCCCGGCCTGTGGCGCAGATACCCGAGTCTTGCTCCCAGACCACATGCTGTGCTGCCAGTCTCCAGCTGCCCTTTCTGGGGTTCTGATGCCTCCCAAAGTGACCATCTGGACCTGGCCCAGCGTGTGTGTCCCCACTGCAGCCACAGGAGTGGGAGCAGTGCCCCCTGTGTGCCCCTCTGCTTTCCCTGATGTCGGTCTCCCCCAGCAGGGAGCTGTGTGGCAGGGAAGCAGCCTCCAGCCTGCAGAGCTGCGGCCAGGATGAGGGCAAGACCGCGCTTCCCTGCGCCGGCTCCATGCGGCCCTGCGCTGTCTCCACGCGGGACCCACCCCTTATGTCCCTGTCCGTCCCTCCGCCCCTCTGTCCTGCCCCTGCTCATCCCTCCCTGGCCTCTGCTCTGCGGCTGCCCTGCAGTTTGGAGGCCGGGTCTGGGCCAGCCTCTGTGGGGTTCCCTGTCCATGGGCCATGAGGGAAATGAGATCCCAGAGAAGAGGGCAGAGGATGAGCACACGCCCCAGACCTGACTCTGGGGCCCTCTAGCCTCTACTGTGGGCCCCAGCCTCAGGACACTGGCCACGGGGCTCGCCCAAGGGAGAGAGAACCCCCTTTCTGCCAGTCACAAAGCTCCCTTGCTTCACTGGCCTGTTGGCATCCTTGTGACTCCCAGACTCTCGGTCCTCCAGCTGGGCTTCATGTTGTCACCTGGGGCCACACCTGACCCAGAAATCCAGGGGGATCACCTACCCTCGGGGCCCCCTTGGGCCACCGTCACCTGCCCTCGGGGACCCCCAGGCACGAGTCTTTCAGGTCCCAGGGAGTCCCAGGTGGTGTTGGGGCCGTGGATGGCAGCTGGACAAAGGCTGTGCTTGGACCTTGGGGTTCAGCCCTGGTGGGCCCAGCCTGTGGAGATGTGGGGGGCGGTCAGCAGGGGATTGGACGAGGTGGTGGGCAGCAGCAAGAAGTGCAGACCCCGAGGTTTAGGGGTTGCGGCCCTGTGACTGAGATCAAGTCCCCTGGGTGAGGGATGGGCCAAGTGGTTCCTGGAGTGTGGCCACACAGTGCTGGGCCTAGGTCGAGGGACCAGAGGGTGAGATCTGGTGTGTGGGGCCTCCTAGGGCCAAGGCAGAACCCTGAGGTGCAGAGGACTCTCCCGGCAGAGGCCCCTCTGTGAGCAGTGGGCAGGGGGCCTGTCGCACCCAGCACTCCCGGCCGACTTGGGTCTCCAGACTCTCAGGGCCTGTGACTGGTGCACACTGGCAGCCCGAACTGCCAGACAGATGGAGACATACTGTCCGGTCATGACTGTGACCTCAGCTGTGACATCACTGAGGACCATGATTGCAGCACCCTGGCTGTCCACCACAGGCAGAGACCGGCTCCAGGGTCCCTGTGCGCGGCCCTGGCGGCACCCACCCAAAGTATGTCCTGGAGCGGGGCTGGGACAGCTGAGTGCAGGCACTGTGGGCCCCTGACCTACTGGAGCTGCATGCCCAGCTGTGCTCTGCGCAGAGCCCCGAGGGTCCCCCAGGGCGTCCTGGTGAAACACATCCGAGCACCCCGTCTTCCCAGGGGCATTGTCCTATTGGAACCCCAAGGCACGCCGTGACCCGGGAGGGTCCATCCGGCTGCATGTGTCCCGTTTTGGTCTGCAAGCCGGACTGGGCCTTGGGACTCCCTGTGAGGGTCGGGTCTGAGTCAGGGGCAGTGGAGTTGGCGGGAGCAGGCTGGCTGTGCCCGTCCCTGAGTTGCTCGCGCTGGCTCAAGGTGCTGGCCAGGCACGCTGGCTGAGCGGCTGGGTCTGGAAAGCACCTTCTGCTCTGGGCTGCTGTGGGCTGGTCCCAGTGAGTTTGGCTGCAGCCCTGAGCCAGCCCCCCCGGCCCACGCTCAGCGGCCCGCGCAGGCCAGGGGCAGAGCTCCTCCTGCAGGCCCCTGCCGGCCAGCTTCCTCGGCAGCATCTCAGTCGTTGGCCAGCGTCCTCTTGTCCATCCCGCCATTGTGTCCCCCAGTCCCAGGTGTTCCCATGCTCCAGGGCGCCTCTCCCCAGACCCAGAAGGGGCTTCTGCAGTAACTCCATGGCCGTAGTGTCCACCCATAGCCACTGGCTGGTGACTGTGGAATGGTCAGCAGACGTTTCCTTCAAGCTCCTTGGTTGGGGCCTCCATCCCGGTGCCTGTTTGCCACCAGTTGGGCACCGCGACAGTGGGCTGTGGAGGTCCCCGCGCCCCATCTGTAGCTGGGTCCTGGCCCCCAGTGGGGCAGACTCGGAGCATCAGGGACAGTGCTTGCCCCTGGGAGCACCCCCAGCCCCGGGACAGAGCTCAGATGCGCTTCTCAGGCCAGAGGCCCCACAGGCAGCCCAGCACAGGGTCCTGGAGCCCCCGGGTGTGGCCCTCGCCGAGACGGCCAAGCAGCGAGAGCACCTCCCGCAGGAGCCATGGTGCGCTGGAGGCGGCGGCGGGCCCTGCTGCTGACGGCCTTCTTCTTGGCCCTTGTGCTGCTCGAGTACCACCGCAGGTGAGCACGGACTCGTGCCGGGATCCCCGCCCCAGGCCCAAGTCATGGTGCCCGCCAGGGGTGGGGTCAGGTCTCGGGTGTCCCACAAGGACCCGCCTCTGTCGGGGTTCATGTCAGTCAGGCGGGCGGGCAGTGGGCACTGTCAGCAGCTTTGCTCCCGCACCCTGTCCTCACCGTCTCCAGACCCTCAGCGCGTGCTGCTGACACAGGCTTGTCTGGGTCCCCACGTCTGTGACAGGTGGCACCTTTTGGTAGTGGTCGATGACCCACCTATGGCCATCCCATCCCCACTGCTTCCTCTCAGCTCTAGGGTGCTTCAGAGTCTTGGTGACACTGCTGCAGGTGGACAGGGGTGATGTGACTCCTGTGGACAGACCCTGCCCAGCTCCTCCTTACCCTTGTCCCCAAAGCAGCCACCCCACATGCCTGCATTCCTGCTCGCCTTCTGCTCTGCTCTGGGCCCAGCTCCAGGCCTCAGCCCGGCCAGGGAAGCGGCAAGCAGGGGACGCATCTGTGCAATCCTGCCCCTTCCTCAAGGGGCCCGGGCCCGGCTGACACTGACCATTGATGGCCCCGCTGACACTGCCCAGTGCTGGCCTGAGCAACACTGCCCAGTGCTGGCCCAGGTGACACTGCCCAGCGCTACCTTCTGTGATCTGGGCAGAGGTGTGTCCAGCTCTGTAGGGCCAATGGCGGTAGAAGCCAGGCTTGGCTATGGTTAGAGGCTACAGGACAGATGGAGCAGAGCTGTGGACCCCAGTGTGTGCACACATGTGTATGCACACATGCAGACGCACGCATGTTTGCACACATTTCTGCTTAGAAGCAATACGGGGAACAGGAGCCATAGGGGCTCTACGCACCCAGAGTCGGCTTCCAGGAGCGCTGGGCTGGCTCCTCCCCGGAGCTGTGAGCCCCACGCAAGGCAGGAGACGGACTGGGCTGTGGTGACAGTGAGCTGGGGGTGCGGGTGCCCTCGTGCACGCCACTCACTAGTCTGCCCTCACCTCCCCAAGTCATGCCCTGTGCCCCCGCTCCCCACCTGTGCCCCAGCAAGGCTCTCTGCCCTTGGATGCCTGTCAGGTGCGGGTTTCCTTAGCAGCTACTTCACAGGCCGGGAATCCTTAAGTGTGGGGTTCTAGAAACAGAGTTGAGCTAGTGGAGTCATGCAGCCCAGTCCTCAGACAGCTGTGGCCAGCCCCCAGGGGACGGGCGTGCTCTGGCTGACCTCAGCATCACTTGGGCCACACGTGCTGGCCCTTGTGCTGGTGTGTCTGTGGGATGCACAGACACTCAGAACCCTGGGCCAGTGCTCTGATGCCCCCTGCACTCCAGGACTTATCCCAAGCCTCTGGAGCTCTCCGGCCCTCCTCCTGCCCCTCCCTGGGTCTGCCACCGCGCTCCGTGTCCCGTGCTCTCACCGCACTGGTCCCGCACCTGTCTGGCATGCCGCAATGACCGGCTCTCTCCATGCACAGGGAGCCGGAGGAGCTGCGTCTTTCTGACTGGTTCACCCCGAGGTAAGATGTGGGGCTAGCATACAGGGGGGTCCAGTCCCCAGGGGTTCCCTCCCCTTGCTGAGTCTGAGCAATGGTTTGAGGCTGTTGAGAGTTTTAGCACTGCCCTGGCCATTTGCCCATAGTTACAGCAAGTGAGTGTCCCCACGAGGTTCGCCTGGCCAGAATGTCCCTTTGAGTTCTCCCGTTTAAACTTCTCATCCTCAGAGGACAAATCTGATGTTGTAAAATATGTCATACATGGCCAAGCAGCTGCTTCAGACCCCCCACTGGATTTGTGTGCCAGGGATCAGTTTGGGTCACACCTGGCGGTGCTCGGGGCTCACTCCTGGTTCGGCTTAGGGACCCTCTTGGCCAGCTCCGCCAGCTGCCCCATCACCCTGGCCCCTGTTGGGCATTTTCAGTGTTTGCCGCTGTTTCTGCTCAGCCTGTGAGTTCCCGCTGTGTATGTCTCATGTGAGGGAACCCAGGCGCTGAATCTGACTGGGACCCTGGGTCAGCACCACAGCCAACATTGGCTTGCTTCTGGGGCATTGCCCTGTGCCCCATGTCCTCCACGTCTTCTCCTCCACTTCCCCATCTGCCGGGCGCCCCCCGGTTCCCCTTGCTCTGACTCTTGTCCTCTCTGTGCCTGGCAGAGGCCTGTTCTGAATTCAACAGCTTGCTCTGGCCCTGACATCTCCCGGCCTGTGCTGGCTCTTCTGGGCAGCTTGGAGCCGTCCAGACGGGACCAGGGCAGGCTGCCGGGCTCGCTTCCTGCCTGGGACCTTGTGTCATGGGGACCAGGCTGGGGCCACAGATGGGCACTTTGGGGTCAGCGTGTCCAGGGCCTCATGGGGCTCCGGCCAGTGCGGCACAGAGCAGGTCTCTGCCCAGGGCTCTGGCGCAGACCCCGAGGGCGGCCGTGCACGCTCCAGCACCCACGCAGCTCCGCAGAGCCCCGAGCCCCTGGACGCGCCCTGACGCCTAGCTCTCTGAGTGTCTGCGGGGCAGCCCCCTGACTTTGCGCTGGCTGGAGATGCTGTTCTGGTGGTTTGTGGTGTGTGTGCTCAGGCTTCAGAGCTGGCTCTAGAGTCGCTGTCGCCGTTTCCTGCCGCTCCTGCTCTGGGTTACAGTGCTCACCTCGGCCAACAGTCACTTCATGGCCGGGCAACGGCTCCTGAGAATGATCCAAGCTTGTTTCTCTTGTGCGCCCACAGTCCCAGGGCTGTGTGGTAGCTCACACACACCTGAACTCTGAGCCTTGTATGACTCCTGCAGCTCTGGTGCCTCAGTTTCCCCACAGAGAGCCAGGGTGGGGATGTGCTCAAGGCCAGAGCACCCAGGAACGAAGGGGACCCGTCAGGACGGGTGGGTGAGACAGTCCTGGGGTGGTGCTGGGTCTGTTCTGTGTCCCACAGGCAGCGCCCCGACGTGGTCACGATGACCAGCTGGCTGGCCCCGGTGGTTTGGGAAGGCACGTTCAACCGGGAGGTGCTGAGAAGACACTACGAGAGCCGCAACCTTACCGTGGGCCTGGCTGTCTTCGCCGTGGAGCGGTAAGACCAGCTGTCCCCCCGCAGCCGTCACCCGTGCGTAGGACTATACCCGGGGTGTGGGGGGCAACCGCGAGGACACCGTGTCCGCCATGTGTTACAGGAAGGCCAGGGTGATGCTGGACCTCTTCCTGACCTCAGCCAACAGGCACTTCATGGCAGGCCAGCGGGTCATCTTCTATGTCACGGTGGAGGCTTCCAGCTCTGAGTGGAATCAGGACAAGGACTTGGCGCTGGGCCTGGAAGGGGTGGCCGGGGGGCGGCGCTCTCTGCAGGTCACTACCCTCGCGGAGGACAGCCTGTGGCTGGACCCCGACCTGGCGCGCATGAAGGACCTGGGGGAGAACATCGTCAGCCGCATCGGCCGTGAGGTGGACTTCCTCTTCAGCATGACGGCCAGCCAGATCTTCCAGGGCGACATGGGGCCCGAGGCGCTGGGCACGCTGGTGGCGCAGCTGCATGGCTGGTGGTACTTCCGGCGCCCATGGGAGCTGCCCTTCGAGCGGAGGCCTCACTCGGCCGCCTACATCCCCTTCGGCCAGGGCGACTTCTACTACTCCGGTGCGCTGCTGGGCGGCACCCCCCAGGCACTGCTGGGCCTCGTGGAGGAGTACCTGAAGGGGGTGGAGCGCGACCTCCGGGCAGGCGTCAACAGCACCTACGAGAGCCACCTGAACAGGTACCTCCTCTCCAACAAGCCGGCCAAGCTGCTGTCACCCGAATACAACTGGGATGCCACCCTCCTCCCACCCCCGGAAATTCGCAGCGTCAAGGTCTCCCAGCACTCCGGGAGTCACTGACGGACAGTCTGTAGGTGGAAATAAAGATGGCCAGTCTCCGTGCTTGCTGATGTCCAGGCCTGATCCTGGCCGTGAGGAGCAGGATGAGGGGTCAGGGAACATCTGCGTGGGATCCCGCCAGAACTGTCCACGTGTCCTGAGCTGGCACTGCCCATGTTCCCCCCTCCCACCTGAGGAGGCTCCACACCACCAAGGGCACAGATGGGACACACACGTCCAGTAAGAAGACACAGTCACCTCTAACCACTCTAAGGTGTCTCTGCGGGCGCTGTAGGCATGAGCTTGAAGGGGGCCAGCGACTGAGGTGCTGAGGTCAGTGAGGCCCCTCCCGGCCTCCCACTCTCTCCTTGCCCAGACATGCGGCTGCTGGCGGCTCCCAACAGCCTGTCCGCTCCCTCCTGCAGCCCCTGCGGCCACTGCACACAGTTCCAGACCCCCCTGCAGGACCGTCCCGAGATGCAGGCCTAGCCCATCCTGGCGTGGGCACTGGGCTGCAGCGGGCGGGCCCTGGTGCATCCTCCTGTCAGTAATCGCGTGTCTGTCCCACAGCCTCTGACCCTCGCACCGCCCTCCCAGGGGGCCTCCGCTGCCCTAGCCCTCGGCCACCCTTGGTTGGGGGCTGGCACTCAGCGTCAGAATTGAAGAGGGGCACATCCTGCAGCCGATGCCTGAGATGAAGGGCAGGACCCACTCCCACTGGCGGAACCCCCGGGCAGCCTCCAGGCTGGAACTACAGGGGCCTGGACTCAGGGCCCCGCCGCAGGCACCCAGGTCAGTTAGGTTCAGCTGTGCCCTCTCCGGGACTGAATCCCCTAGCTCGGGCACTGCCTGCCTGGCCCCTCTGCCCATTCTTTAGGGTGGACCTAGGGTTGGGGAGGGGCTGGGGACAGGGCTGGGGCCGGGGTGGAAACAAGAATAGGGACAGGACAGGGATGGGACAGGGATGGGGCTGGGGATTGTGTGGCTGTGGCTGTGTGGGCATGGAGGCCCTAGTAGGAGGAAGTGGCCAAGCCCACGGTGTGGCTGTGGCTCTATGGGGCTCGGCATTAGTGTACACATGTGTGAAAACCTGCGCGTGTGCACATGTACTGGCATGCATGTGTGACTGGGGTACTTCCCGTGCCCACAAGCACATGGATGAGCCCCAGACTCCTGGGCCGGAAACTGTCCTGGCCAGTGGGGATGGGGAACACTGGTCCCACCTGACAAGGCCCTTGGACACCAGCACTGTATCGGCCCCTCCCAACGCGTCCCCTAGTCCTCCTGAGAGTGGCTGTGGCTTTGCCCTCAGCACGGGGCCTGCAGAAGGCTCGGTACCACCCTCCAGCCCCCACCCTTTTCCAAGGGTCCTGGCCACTTAGGGCATGAGGTGCCCAGGGGCCAGGGATGCCTGTGGGTCTCGGTCTGTGGCTGCTAATCCAAGGACACCAGATCTGGCTAAGACCGAGTGAACCACGTGATTGTGAGGAGTCCCCTGCCCCACTACCCAGAGCTGTCTGGGGGCAACTGCATGCCCTGCTTCCTGCCCTCACCTGTGCAGCCTGGCCATGTCTGTGGCGGGGTCTCTCAGGACCTGCACTGTCCACTGGGCCGACCCACTGGGCTGCTTCATTAGGTCAATCCACCTGGCTGCCCGCTGGGACGGATCCCAGGCTCACGGTTGGCTACAGGTTGGGATTACCCGAGTAGGACAGCAGAGGGTGGCATCTAAGGGTATTTGGCCTCTGGGAACTTGGTAAGTTGGAGTATTAGAGAAAATTAGTGGGGGAGCAAAGGAAGGGTTAATTCCAACTAGAGTAAATGATTCCAGGCTGCTGGGATTGTTTTCCAACCTGGCCAGGTGAAAGCCACAGCACAGCGCCAGCCTGTCGGAATGTGATTCTTAACTGTGTTTTCCAAGTCTCACAGGAAACTCGATTGTTACTAATAATGGGAATTTGTTGACTTTCTAGATCATTTTATGAAAATACTAGTTATGGAACTTAACAGTTTCAAAGCTAAGGGTGATGCTTGTGTGTTTTAAGTTGGAGCAGTAGTGGACAGAGATTTTTTCTGAGGGAAAAGAAAGGTGAAACTGGTTGTGAAATGGAATGAAGAAAAGCTAGAGGACAGGACGTGAGCGTGACAGGAGCTGGGAATCTGAGGACAGGCTTCTGGGAAGGAGACAGGGGCTGAGCGGGCGCTAGCTGGAAATGCGCCTTAACCTCCGCCACGTCACAGGCTGAAGTCAGACTTGGCATTTTCTTTGCTGAGCACACAGAACTCTTCTAGGTTGCTGGGCTTCCTCAGGCTGTGGCCTGTCTGCCAGGAACAGAAGCTCTGAGATATGAACATGGCGGTCTCAGCTCAGAGTGGTGACATATTTATATTGATATAACTTTTTGAAAATTAAGATTCTGTCAGAGCCAGAGTGATAGCACAGATGGTAGGCCAACCCTGGAACTCCATAGGAACCCCTGAACCTGCCAGGAGTGATCCTGAGCACAGAGCCAGGAGTCAGCCATGAGCACCACCGGGTGTGGCTCAGAAACAGATCTCAGTGCTGAGAGCGCAAAGCTCGTGAGCACCACCAGCTGGTGGACAAGGGGCAGGACGCCATCAAGTGGCCTTGCCCGATTCTGAGTCCCTCCCATTTGAGGGTTCATCTGAGCACACAGAATCAAGGGGCTCTGGAGTCTTGTTTCTTACAGTCGCACCATTTCCCCAGGGATCTGTCGTTCGATAGGTTGTCCTCTGTCACCCTGGCCTGGTCCTGGCAGTGGACAGCCGCAGCTGGTGCTGGTCACCTCACTCAGTTCCAGTTGTCACCGGCCGAGGACTCCCGCTCAGGCTATTCCTATCCTCAGGTCTTTTTTTTTTTTTTTTTTTTTTTTTTTAGCTTTTTGGGTCACACCCAGCGATGCACAGGGGTTACTCCTGGTTCATGCACTCAGGAATTACTCCTGGCCATGCTCGGGAGACCATATGGGATTCTGGGAATAGAACCCAGGTCAGGCCGCGTGCAAGGCAAACACCCTACCCGCTGTGCTATCACTACAGCCCCCCTTAGGTCTTTTGATTGGTTTTATTTATAGTTTTAAAATCAGTGCAACTCCTTTTTAATGGGCAATTGAGTATTGTTTTGTGGTGATCTGTAGAGTTGTATACCTTTTAATATCTATGAGGCAAAATCATTAAGAAATCAAAATTTCAAGGAAAGAATCCAGTTTAATTGCTTAAAGGGAAAGTAAGCATAGCCATGCTGAGGCATCCCTGAGGCATTCCCTGGTGACTGTCCCCACCCCTATGGAAAGAGAACCAGAAAGAGGTCACGCACCAGAGAGCAGGGGTGAGCCAAGGAAGGCCGGTCAGGGGGAAGTGGCATTATAGCAGGTTCAGAAATGCAAAGGTCACTGCAAGTAGCTCGACGACCTTCAGCCCTCTGCCCTCCAGAGGGCCGAGGAGAAATGATTTCAGACGCATTGCCCTCCCCAGCTCAGTCAGGAGAAAGTAGAAAACAGTAATAAAGGAAACACCCCAAAAAACAAAAGTCCAGGTCCAGGTCCATTTGGGTCACTAGTGAGTCTCACCAACCTTCAAACCAATCGCCTAACCTCCTTGAGTTCTTTCAAATATCTGTTTAAAAAGGAATATTTCCCGGCTACCACTGTGAGGCAACCCCTAGGATACACATCCTGATGGACATTGATTCTTCACAAATCTTACGTCATTGTCATCCTCAGGTGGAAACCGGAAGCCTTCCCTCTGGGATGAGACAGGACAATATGTCCTTTTCTTCACTACTATTCATAATAACTTAGGGAATTATGCAAGAAAAAGAAATAAAAGGCAAACTGGGAAAGAAGTCAAACTCACTATTTGCAAATGACATGATAAGAACTTAGAAAAAATAAAATAAACTTAGAAGACCCTAAGACTCCACAGTGGGCTGGAGCAATAGTACAGCAGTACGGAGGGAAAACGGTGTTGGTCCCTTCCGCCTTTTTCCCTCTGGAAAGAAAGATGGCAGCCGCTTGGGAGCTTTGTGGAAAGCCAGATATGAGCCGGTAGTGATGGGGCGACTGAAACGTCATGGGAAAGGGGGCGTTCCCGGCTCATCCTTCACGCCCTGTCGAAGTCACAAGTTGCCCCCCACGAGCGGCTCTCCGGCACGGCCATGGCTCCAGAGCACAGAAACCAATCTCATAACTCTCTGACTCTTAGCAGAAATACTTCCAGGGTTAATAAGTAAAATACCAGAAATCCAAATCGTTTGATTCTTGTGACCAGCTGTAGAAAACAAATTATTTCACAATTCCTTTTCAGCATATCTGATTTGGGGGTGTAAACTCTAATAATGCACCTTTTGTCGAAACAATGAATCTAGTCAAAGTAGATAGAGTATTAATTAGAATTTATCTGCCTCACATGCATTGGGAAGGTTGGGGGGGGGGTATTGGGGTTCTCCGTGGTGAAAAAAAAGTATGGTAAAGGGAAATGTGTTTGATATTTGCATGACCTAGATTTAAACCTGAAAGCTTTGTAACTTTTCCCACGGTAATTCAATAAATAAATAAATTAAAAAAAATAGGTCATAATTAAAAAATCTAAAAAAAAAAATGGTACAGGAGGGAGGATGCTTTTCTAGCACATGCCGACCAGGGTTTGATCCCCAGCTCTCCATATGGTCCCCTGAGTCATACCAGGAGTGATCCCTGAGTTCAGAGCCAGGACTCAGCCCTGAGCACAGTCAGGTGGCCCCCCCGAACAAAACAAAAACAAAAACATTTAGAAACTATAAACCAATGCAGCAGGCATAGGACTTCAAAATCAATACATAAAAAGTGTCTGTATGCAGACGATGAACTAAAAGAGAAAAATTGAAAACCCATTTAGAAGAGTGCCCAAAACCTGAGTCGATGAAAGGTGCACATGGAAAGCAATGTGTTTATTCCAAGGAGAGGATACAGAGAAATGAAAAAATATTTTATATTCATGAGTTTAATGATTACTTCATTAAACTTACTTCTAGGAACATGAAAAGCCTCAAACCAATCGTTCAGGGTCTTGACGAAGAAGTCTGACCATCTCGTAGGTGGGCAGCCACGCAATCTTTTGATGTCCCTTGGAATCTAGTCGCTAGCCGCTCTAGTCCAGCAGTCATCTCCAAATTTCATTATGTGTCAAGCCCATCTGATCTTCAATGCCTTGGCAAACGAGACAATGTCCCTGATTCTTGATCGTCAGCGGAGGTCCAAACTCCGGATTCTTTCTCTCATTTGAGTGAAGCAGGTTACTCCAAGCATAGCTCTTTCAATTCCTCTTTGTGAATTCATAAACTACATGAGAAAAATATGGAAGGAATTCCTCATTATCTGGGCCTCAGAAGTGTATACATTCAAATTTACTGTCAAAGAGAGCAAGAACTAACAAATGCCATTACATGAAACTAAAAGTAAAAGAAATTTGGGCTACGCAGTGACAAAACTTGTTGGGCCTCACGGGATGCGGGGTGGGGGGGGGAGAGCCGGGCCTGTCCTCCCCACCCCAACGAGACCCCAAGTCATCGCCCACGAACGGCCTCTCTGGCTCCTCATCAAGCTGCTCAACGGCCATGATCCCAGAGACTCAGAAGCAGATCTCTAAACCCAGTGGCTTTTGGCAGAAATCCCTACAGATTTAAGTGTTAAAATTTCGGAATCTCAAAACCACATGGCCCTACTGCAGTCACACGACATCATATGTTATTCATAACCAGCAATAGAACACAAATTGTCTATTGTTGCCGTTTCAGCAGATCTGAGTGTTGGGGTAAAATCTCAAATAATGGTGGGTCTGGTGTCAAAATAGTGAATGTGATCAGAGTAGAGGGAGAGTAATGTGGAAATCATCTGCCCCACAGGCAGGAGGAGGGTGTGGGATGGGGGTATACTGGGATTTTTGGTGGTGGAGAATGGGCACTGGTGAAGGTACGGGTGTTTCATTGTATGACTGAGACTTAGACCCAAAAGCTTTGTAACTGCTCTCATAGTGATTCAATAAATAAAATTATAAAAAATGGGAAAAAAAAAGAAATTTGGGCTAAAAGGGAAAAATGCCCATGGAATGGGAGAAAAATGTTCCCATTTGGTGGCCATGAACCGTTTCCCCACCCTGGGCTGCAGCCGCCACCAACAGTTGCTTGAAGGAGGGAACAGGGCCCCCAAGCTGGTTGGTGATCAGTGGCCGTTTATTTCCATCTCTATCCCATTTATTCTATTCTCCCCGTGCACCTATTCAAATTGTTGGATATAACCCTAAGTGCCCGCATCAGGGCTGGAGCGACAGCGCAGTGGTAGGGCGTTTGCCTTGCATGCTGCCAACTTGGCCGACCTGAATTCAATTCCTCCGCCACTCTCGGAGAGCCCAGGAAGCTACCGAGAGTATCTCACTCGCACGGCAAAACCTGGCAAGCTACCCGTGACGTATTCGATATGCCAAACAGTAACAAGTTTCACAACAGAGACGTTACTGGGCCCACTCAAGCAAATCGATGAACAACGGGAGGACAGTGCAGTGCAGTGCTACTCTAAGTGCGTTAGGCCTCATCCGTGAATTGCCCCTTTTCCTCCTCCCAGAGAAGAAGCTTACCATGCTCTTGCTAGCATCCCTTATTTAGTTAAAGTCTATCTTTAACCTTTCCTTTGTATTTTATCTCTCATTGTCACGTTTGCCCAAGTCAGTCTTGATTACTTATAAGCCAAAACTTTCTGGTACTTCTGGACTTTGTACTGTTTTGTATTTGAAGTGCTGTGTATTGGTACCTGCTTTCCTAAAAGGCCCGCCTGTTGTTCATCGATTTGCTCGAGTGGGCCCAGTAACGTCTCCATTGGAGACTTTGTTGTTACTGTGTTTGGCATATTGAATACGTCATGGGGAGCTTGCCAGGCTCTGCCGTGCAGGCAAGATACTCCCGGTAGCTTGCCGGGCTCTCCGAGAGGGGCGGAGGAATCGAACTCGGGTCGGCCATGTTGGCTGCATGCAAGGCAAACGCCCTACCGCTGTGTTATCGCTCCAGCCCATTTCCCCTATAACCTTTTTATATTTTACTATAGAACACTGTTCTTTGGTTAAACACAGAAAGACCTGGGTTCGATCCCTGACACCTCATATGGTCCTCCAAGCAGTTCTAGGAGTGATTCTTGAGTGCAGAAGACAGGTCCCTGAGCATTGCCATGTGTAAAGGTAAAGGTAAAGGCCCTCCCGTTGATCGTCGATTTGCTCGAGCGGGCCCAGTAACGTCTCCATTGGAGACTTTGTTGTTACTGTGTCTGGCATATCGAATCCTCTCGGTAGCTTGCCGGGCTCCCCGAGAGGGGCGGAGGAATCGAACTCGGGTCGGCCATGTTGGCCGCTTGTAAGGCGAACGCCCTACCCACTGTGCTATCGCATGTGTAACCCCCCCAAAAAAAATAAAATCAGAGCTACTATTTCACCCAAAGATTCCACTTCTCAGCACGCATTCCAAGAATGTAAAACACTGACTCAGACACTGCACACCTCTGTCCACTGTAGCACACAGGGACAGGCACTCAGGTGTTCAGACGCTCGATGAGTTATGGATAAAGCTGGGGTAAAGATGGGAACACTGCACAGCTGGAAGAGAAGATAAACCCTTTTGGCTCAAACCAAGGATGAGCTAGAAGATTCATCACAAAAAATCACAAATCATCCTGTTATTCGTCGATTGCCTCGAGCAGGCCCCAGTAACGTCTCCTTCATCCTAGCCCTGAGATTATATTGAAGGCTCTTTAGGAGAATGAGACCCATCATTGTTACTGGTATTTGGCATATTGGGTACGCCATGGGGAGTTTGACAGACTCTGCCATGTGGGCAGGCTACATTCGGTAGCCTGCCAGTTTGTCCAAAGTAGGAATGAGATAATAAGATGTCATAATAAGAAGATTCATGTTGGACGGAAGTCAGAGGGAGAACAGTGCAGGGTGATCTCTGCTCTGTAGCAGGTACAGGAACGAAGGGAGGGGACAGACAGAATCAAATGATGTGAACCTGTGGGCTTCGAACTACGGAGTTGAGACTTCCAAGCAGGGGAGAGGGTTTGGGGATGAGGATGATGGTGTTGGGCTTTGGTACTCTGTCAAGGTGCAGAGGTTTTTAAGTGAAAGGCATAAACATTAGCACTATTATAGTCATGTTACCTCGCCTACAATAAAATCAAATTTGAAAAAGAAAACCAAGAGCAAATTTCCCTCCCCTCCCAGCCATTCTGCCCAGTTGCTCTCTTGAAGGCCACCTTGTGTGTGCCCAGCTGGGTTGCAGCTCAGCGACAAAAGGTAAACGTGCTCTCAGTGCTCCAGGCACCCCCTGCCTGTGCTCCTGAAGACCCCTGCAGTGTCTCTGGCTGCATCTGAAAAGGGCAGGATTTGACTGAAGTAATTGGTTTCATGTCAATTTTTATTAGTTTTGGAGTCCAGAACTTTTTTTTACTTCTCATTCTTGCAAAGCTTGGGTGCCAGTGGGCCTTGCACCATTGACTGGAAGACCCCTCTGTGGCACCCGACCCATCCACCCATCACCCACCCACCCACCCACTCATTATCTAGCCATCGTCATCCATCCTTTTCTCTCCATCCACCCACCCCTCCATCGTCCTTCCGTTCACCCATCATCTTTTACGCATCAATCACCTATTTCCAACTTAGCACCGGTGGTCTGTGTTAGTCTCCACCCACCCCATTGCCTGCTTGCCCATCTCTCTACATTCTGCCTAGCTGGGCCCGTGCTTTAGAAAGCCCTCATTTGGGCTGATCCCTCCCCCCAGTGTCAGACCTCTGATGCAGTGACATGGGCGGCGCCCCCTCCCCCCAGGACCCGCCTCAGGTGAGGAGTCTGAGACAGTGTCACTGGGTCATTGCTTTATTGCAGAGGAAGGAAGGCTCAGGGCAGGAGGGCCCAGATGGGGACCCCTGGCGCTGAGTCCAGGGGAATTGACGGGTCTTCGTCCTTCCTGACTCCTCCGATGGCCTGTGCAGCAGCTCATCTAGAAGGGGCATTGCTCTGCGGAGGGGAGAGCAGGACAGACTCAAAACTGGACTCCCACCTGCGCTGGGCCTCAGGGACTTAGGAGCCTGAGAGCTGAGACCTGAGTGGGAGGGGTGGGCGGGAGAGGCGGGGCCTTTGGAGGGCGGGGCCAGAGGAGCGATGGGGGCGGGTGGGAGGGGCGGGCCCGGCGGGATGGGCAGGCCTTAGGAGGGCGGGGCCAGAGGAGTGGTGGGGGTGGGCGGGAGGGGCGGGGCCTGGGGTGGGTGGGGCTAGAGAGGGGTAGGGCCCATGGGAAAGAGAGAGGGGCGGGGCTCAGGTGGGGCAGGGCCTTTGGAAGGCGGGGTCTTGGAGGGGTGGGGCCTGTAGGGCGGGAGCCTGCCAGGAGGGGCGGGGCCTGGGAGGGGGGTGCCGGGTCGGGCCAGGTCCGGCTGGATGGGAGGGCGGGCTCACCGGTCAGCTGGCTGGGGCTGAGGAAGATCTTGTTGTACATGGGCATGGTCTCGATGGCTTTGTTGCACTTCTCCAGTGCCTTGTCATTGGTGGGATTGGTGGGGGTTAAGGTCTTGACTGTGGGGAGAGGAAGGTCAGTTTCCGGCCTCTGGGTGCCCCAGGACCTGCGGTAAACCTGGGTACCCTGGGATCCCCAGTCAGCGACAGTGGCGCTCCGGAGGCTCTCGCGCTTTCTGTGCTCTGCCTAGGGAACCCTCGCAGCGCGGCTGATGAAGGTGCTGCCCGCACCCCAGTGCCCAGGGGCACCCCTCCCACTACCAACCCGTCCAGGCCACGTACTCAGGCACTGGCAGGCCAGGGTCTGCTCGGGGGCGGTGCTCTTCTCCATGCAGATCATCAGGAAGTCCTGGTAGTCAGTGTCCATCACGAACATCTCGTTCTGCTCCAGGGCTGGGGGACGCAGGGAGTGAGTGTCCACTGCAGGAGGACCTGCTCATTCCCCAGGGTCTCAAGGAGCTCTCCCTGCACCCTGAGTACTGCCCTTTACCCACCTGGGGACTGGGGTCACTCCTCAGCCCCAGAGCAGTTAAGGAATGAAGCTTGAAAGCTAACTGAGGGGTTTGGCATCTCGCAGGAAGGACAGAGGAAAGGCTGAGACCTCCACCACCGTGAGTTCTGTCCACCAACTGGGCAGCCCCACAGCCCGGGGGGCCCCCCCGCACCTTCTCCTCTCCGAGCAGGTTGGGGAGCTGCCCAGGGGGAGGTTGGGGGAGGCAGTGAGGCTGGGCAGGCCAGGGCCTCCTTGCTGACCCAGGGAGAAGCAGGCCTGTCACCCAGGGCACCGCCTTGAGAGGTCACCAGGCCCCATGACTGAGCCGATGGTCAGGCCACTCTGACAGCTGGTGTTTTCAGCTGCACCACCAACATGTGGCGTGTGCCCTGTGCTGTGTGCTGTGTGCTATGTGGAGTGTGGCATGTGCCATGCAAAGCATGGCATTGTTGCGTGGCATGTGCCACGTGGAGCATGGCGTTGCCATGTGCTATGTGCCATGTGGAGCGTGGCATTGCCCTGTGGCATGTGGCATATAAAGTGTGGCATTGCCATGTGCTGTGTGCTGTGTGGAGCGTGGTGTTGCCATGTGCTGTGTGGTGTCTGCTGTGTACACCTGTGTCGTGTGAGGTGTCGCCATCGGTGTACACTCACAGTTGATCTGGAACTTGGCAGGGACAGCGGTTTTCTGAGCCCAGAACTTTTTCTCCACACATTTGTTCATCTCCCTAGAAAAGCAGATCTGTCTCAAGGCAGGGTCGGACCGTGCCACCGAGGGTGGAGGCGGCACCCGGCCCAGCAGCACCGGGGGACAAACCAGGACCAGAGAGAAGCTGGAACCGCCACGCGCCCAGCCCCACCCACCGCTGGTTCATGGTGATCTCCATGTTGGCCTGGGGGGTGACGCTCAGCTTCTTGAACACATGCACAGGGGTGGTTTCAGTGTCCAGGAGGGCAGGGTCTATGGTCGCCATGGCCACGGTGTGCCAGGTCCCGGCCATCTGAGGAGGACAGGAGCTCAGCGAGAATGGGACAGCGCCCCATGTACCACCGAGCACAGCTCCCTTAGGAGGGGACCCGGGCTGGGACATCCCTGCCCTGGGTGAAAGAGGGGACCTGGGCTGGGACACCCTGCCCTGAGCTGGGCCAGCACTGGGTCCCCTCCTCTGCCCCCATGAGGAATGTTCTAGAAAAAGGCTAGAGGGAACCAGATGAGCCCATGGCCCTGAGGAGTGGGGCTCTACATGTGTGCCCACAACCTGCAGGGTGGGTCTTCGGGGGGAGTAGGGTCAGAGGCGGGCAGGGGACCCCCATCTGACTGGGTCCAGCCGGGGAGGGGGCTGAGGACATGCAGCACAGGGGACAGGGCGCCCACAGGAACCCTGACCAGCAGCCAGGATGTCTGGGCCCAGCACGGGGACAGGGGTGGGCAGCAGGGCGAGGTGTGAGGCCGGGGGCTCAGTGCAGCCCAAGGCCTGGGGCTGCCCCTCCCCCCAGCTGACCTTTGAGATGTCCAGGTTCTTCATGGCCTGGGGGATGGCGATGGCCTGGATGCCACACACGAGGGCCAGGGCGAGCAGGACGCACTTCATGGCTGCGCTGGGTCTGCACCGGACAGTGAGTGAGGCTGAGCAGCGGCCCGGGGCCTTTTATAGGCGGCTGGGGCTCCCCGCAGTTCTCGGAACCCCCCGACCGCTCTGGGCCTGGGGGCTTCCTCCTGTCACATAGAGGAGGCCTGTTCACTGGTTCCAGGAGGTCGGGGCCATTCGTGGAAGCCACGGGGACACTTCTGGGTTGGGTCTTGAGCAATGACAGGGCAGGGGGCAGGGGACAGCGGTGCCCCAGGGCTGGGCCCGTGGGTCACACCAGGGAACCCAGCAGCCCCAGACTGTGGAGGACAAAGCAAGGGGCTGACACACTAGAGTCGGTCTCCACAATCCCAACGCTTGTGCACAGCCCTGCTATGCACAAATGCTGATTGTCATCCTGGTGTAGACACAGCTCAACAGTCATCCCGGGTGTAGACACAGCTCAACAGTCATCCCGGGTGTAGACACAGCTCAACAATCATCCCGGGTGTAGACACAGCACATAGTCATTCTGGGTGTAGACACAGCTCAACAGTCATCCCGGGTGTAGACACAGCTCAACAGTCATCCCGGGTGTAGACACAGCTCAACAATCATCCCGGGTGTAGACACAGCACATAGTCATTCTGGGTGTAGACACAGCTCAACAGTCATCCCGGGTGTAGACACAGCTCAACAATCATCCCGGGTGTAGACACAGCACATAGTCATTCTGGGTGTAGACACAGCTCAACAGTCATCCCGGGTGTAGACACAGCACATAGTCATTCTGGGTGTAGACACAGCTCAACAGTCATCCCGGGTGTAGACACAGCTCAACAGTCATCCCGGGTGTAGACACAGCTCAACAATCATCCCGGGTGTAGACACAGCACATAGTCATTCTGGGTGTAGACACAGCTCAACAGTCATCCCGGGTGTAGACACAGCTCAACAGTCATCCCGGGTGTAGACACAGCTCAACAATCATCCCGGGTGTAGACACAGCACATAGTCATTCTGGGTGTAGACACAGCTCAACAGTCATCCCGGGTGTAGACACAGCTCAACAGTCATCCCGGGTGTAGACACAGCACATAGTCATTCCGGGTGTAGACACAGCACTCAGTTGTTGAGTTTCAGAAGAAAAGAATGCTTTGGGCACACAGGGGACTTGAGTGTTCGGTGAATGAGAGCCGCCTCCCCAGGCTCAGAGACGCCTCCCCTGGCTGGTCCACAGCGGCAAAAGAAGGATGAAGGACGGGGGGGACAGAGAAACAGGAACTGGACTCAAGGCTGGTCGTAGACAGTTTATTTCTCTCTCCTCCCAGCATAGTCCGATCTCTCCCTTCTCGGCGCAATCCTCTACCTCGTTATCTCCTTCCTCGTCTTGTCATCGTGTCATTGTCGCATAGTCTCCTCATAGTCCTCGTACTCTTGTCCTCAAAGTCCCCCAAATCTTCGATCTCCTCCTCGTCTTCAACGTCCCGTCCTCGACTTTCCCTCTTACCCCTTACAGGCATAGTTATATAGAAACCACGAAGGGTGGGGATACAAAGGTGAGGTTGAACATTGTCATCACAAAAAAGAGGTAAAGCCACTCCTTTAGGAGATTAACTCAAGGACAAAATCTCATCTGAGGGTTCAGCACTCCAGATTACTAGGAGATCCGCTCAAGGGCGGGATTCCATCCAGGGTGAATTGCTTTCTCCTTTCCTCAACTAGTCATCCATTGAAATGACACGGTAGACACGGTCCTCCTCCCATTGTTCATCGATTTGCTTGAGCAGTCCCAGTAACGTCTCCATCATGAGACTCTGTTGTTACTCTGTTTGGCATATCGAATACGTCACGGGGAGCTTGCCAGGCTCTGCCGTGCGGGCGAGATACTCTCGGTAGCTTGCCGGGCTCTCCGAGAGGGCCGGAGGAATCGAACTCGGGTCAGCCATGTTGGCCGTTTGTAAGGCGAACGCCCTACCACTGTGCTACCGCTCCAGCCCATCCATTTAAATAATCATAGTAATTTACTTCTTATACTATTTCTAGTTCATGGCAGAGCCTGGCAAGCTACCCGTGGCGTATTTGATATGCCAAAAACAGTAACAATAACGGGCTCATTCCCCTGACCCTGAAAGAGCCTCCAATACCGTTGGGAAAGATGAGTAAGAAAAGGTTGCTAAAATCTCAGGGTTGGGACGAATGGAGACGTTACTGGTGCCCACTTGAGTAAATCGATGAACAACGGGATGACAGTGATACAGTGAATATTCCTAGTCATTTTGTATGAACACAGTAAAAGATATATTAAACTTAAAGTTTGACTCTTCCTGGGGTCATCTCACTATATATCCCAGACTACAGTCCTTAGGCCAGCTTAGTCTTTCCAAACCCCAGCAGGGTCCTTATTCAGATATTTATTTTTGGGTCATGACATAGTTTGTCCAAAACTGTGTTCTTAACTTATAGTTAAGTATTATGGAGCTTGGCATGGCCATTTTGATGCCAGAATAGCTCACAGCTTACTCTGGGTCGATCCAGTCCCTCGTCAAGACCCTGCTCTTCAAGTGCTAGGAACTAAGGGCAACTGAGGCTTAAGTCAAGTAAATATGGATGCCTAGGAGTAAACATTATCTTGGAGTCAATTAATTCCCATGTTACATAGCATAGCATGAACTGTCTTCCTGTAACTATACAAAAAGGACATAACTTAAAAAAACATGCAAATGACATAAAGGAAAGAGAAAAGAAACAGGATTATCAGTGCTTGATGGAATTGGGTGTGCTTCGGGGGCATTGTTGTGGGAGTAACTCAATAAACCTTAAACTCCCTAGGGGTAGGAGCAAAGACAACCCAATGTTATCTAACATCCTGGGTGTACACACAGCTCACAGACACAGCTCACACAGTCATCCCGGGTGTAGACACAGCTCACATAGGCTGGGTCTACAACAGGGGGCGCTCTGACAAGGCCACCCCAAGGCTAGGGTATGTCTTGGCCACATGATGACTTTGGTGTGTACCATCCTTGCCCGCTAGGGCTGGTCAGATGCAGTGGGTCCTGGTAGCCTTGGAAAGGCTGTAGTGGTCTGGTCCTTACTGGGAGGAACAGGAATAATTGTGACAACACTGTGAGTGTCACCAACCTTGGGGGACCCAGTGAGTGGTGGCCGTGATCCACACAACTAGGTCAGCACCTGAAGCCTCCACAGCTCGGTGTTAAATTGGGGGCAGAATGTCCACCGTAGGATAACAATTGATTTGTCCTTTCTCCCTTGCCACAAGGAGCTTAGGTTTATCAGGTTACACCCATCACAGTGCTCCCGAGTCACTCCCATTCCTTTGTTTATCTGTAACCACTTCTCTATGCTCTCTTCCCCAACCAGTTAATCAGCTTTTCTCCCTAATCAGAATCTGTTAATTTGTAATATCAGATCCTTCTAGGACACTGAACCTGTATTGTAAATTAATATTGCCTTTCTCCTCTCCTTAGGGTGTTTGCCTTGCGCGCAGCCAGTCCGGAGGAGCTGGGTTCGATTCCTCCACCCCTCTCGGAGAGCCCGGCAATGTACCGAGAGTATCTCGCCCGCACAGCAAAGCCTGGCAAGCTCCCCATGACATATTCAATATGCCAAACACAGTAACAACAAATCTCAAAATGGAAACGTTACTGGGCCCGCTCAAACAAATCGATGAACAACAGGAGGACAGTGCTATAGTACTACTTTAAAGCAATGTCCTTTTTGTATAGATACAGGAAGACAGTTAATATTATGCTTTTGTAATTTAGGATTTAATTGGCTTTGAATATTATTCACTCCCGGGCATTTGCTTTCTCGACATAAGCCTCAGTTGCCCTTAGTTCCTAGCACCCCAAAAGCAGGGTCCCGACTAGGGACCAAATGGATCCAGAGCAAGCTGTGAGCTACCCTGGCATCAAAATGGGCCAGGCCAAAGTGCCACGATTCTTTTTTTTTCTATTTATTAGCTGAATTTACTTTTTTTAAAAATTTTTATTAGTGAGACATCATGAGGTACAGTTGTAGACTTACAAATTTTTGTGCTTGGGTTTCAGTTATACAATCATCGAATACCCATCCCTCCACCAGTGCCCATTCTCCACCACCACTGATCCCAGTATCCCTCCCACCCCCCATCCCCCCATCCCACCCTACCTCTGTGGCAGGGCATTCCCTTTTGTTATCTCTCTCCTTTTTTGAGTGCCATGGTTTGAGCACCACGATTCTTAACTATAAGTTAAGAGCTTGATCATGGACAAATGTTGTCATGGTCCAAAAGTAACGATGAGTCTAGGACCCTGCTAAGGATAGGAAAGACTAATCTGGCCTGAGCACTGTAGTCTGAGATTGAGATGGTCCTACGAGAGCAATTCTATAAGCTTAGTATATCTCGTACTGTGTTCATACAAAATGATTAATATTTATTAATGCTTATATGTTGTTGGGCAAGGAGCGGAGAAACACACCCATGGGATTCCGCTCTAGGGTGGGTCGTCCTGCAGAGATCTGTCCTAGAAGCATCCCCTGAGGGAAAGAACTTTACCCCTATTGATTGTGACCACACCTATGTGTAAGCCCCAACTCCTCATGGATTGGGGATTTATCTAGAATAAGAGGGGGCTGGAGGATCAGGATCCAGATTCCAGAGCCAGCAGGAGAATGAAGGGGGATGGAGAAGGAGAATGAAGTAGCACGGGGGAGGAAGAAGCAGGAGGAGAATCAGAGGAGGATGGAGATGGGAATGGAATAAACTGCAACTGACACCAACCAGCCTGGCCCTCGTTCCTTCCTTCTCCTGCCCATCACCATCCACCTTTCCCAGGTGGAGGAAGCAGCGTGAGACGACCAAACTCGGGCGATGGGAGAGATAGACCGCTGCCATCTTTTTGTGTTTACAGCCACAGCCATAGATAGTGTGTCCCGGAGCACGACCAGCTCTGGAGAAGACCGGACCATGCAGGGTGTCCCAGACTCAATCTGGGGGGCTCCGGCTCGTGCTCCCTGCA